AACATTTTCGGCGCCTGCGGCGGGCTTTTTTTGCATTCCTTCCAGGTAAAGAGCCCGCGACCCACCCCGCGACCAACTCGCGACCAACCCGCGACCCAAACCACATTCAGAGTACAAACCACATTTTTCGGCGCCTGCGGCGGGCATCTTTTGCATTCGTTCTAGGTGGAGAGACCGCGGCCCACCCGCGACCACGTTCAGGGTACAAACCACATTTTTCGGCGCCTGCGGCGGGCATCTTTTGCATTCGTTCCCGGTGGAGAACCCGCGGCCCACCCGCGACCCAAACCACGTTCAGTGTACAAACCAAATTGTTCGGCGCCTGCGGCGGGCTGCTTTTGCAGGAGGAAGAAGAGGAAGAGGAGGAGGAGGAGGAGGAGGAGGAGGAGGAGGAGGAGGAGGAGGATGAGGAGGAGGAGTAGGAGGAGGAGGAGGGGGAGGAAGGGGACGACGACGACGACGACGACGACGAAAAGGAGGAGGGGGGAGGATCGGGAGGGGGGGAAGAGGAGGAGGACGACGAGGAGGAACATGACGTCAATGGGAAGACGATGATGGAAGGACGAGGGGGGGAGAGGGAGGACGAGGACGAAGAGGAGGAGGAGGAGGACGAGGTGGAGCAGGACGACGATGACGCCCGCGCCCGCCCCCTCACTCTTATCCGCAATTGCGGGGTATTAGGTATATATATATATATATACACATGGACTATGGACGTCCGATTGTGGTTCCTTGCGCGAGGCTCCGCGCGGAGCTCCGAAAGTTTACAGTGGAGGCCAGTCCATAAGAAACCTTCCACAAGAAACCCAACCCTGAGACCCCAGGACGTCCATGGATTCTCGGTGTGGGAACGTAGCGCTTTCCATCGCACGACCCTCGAGACAGAGGAAACCCAGGGCACCCTGAAGGCGAGCAGGGTGTTTCTTGGCATGGGTCTCCACTGTATCACCAGGATGCGCGGTGAGGATGGAGGGGCCTTGGAAGGCCCACGTGAACGTCTTTCGAGCGAGGCTGGCCGGCGAAGCTCGCCCAGGATCAGGGGAAGACAAGCGCCAGAAACAGAAACTTCTGGCGCTCCGCGCGGGTTGCTCGGATCTGCGCTGGACCCCCCTCCCTGGCGCGCGGAGCGCGCCAGGGGCTTCGCCGGAGGCGCCGCCAGGGGGGGCCCAGCGCGGATCCAAGAAACCCGCACGGAGCGCCAACAACTTATATTTGTGGCGGTTTCTCTTCTGCGATCCTCGAGCTTCCGTCAGCCCAGGGCGGCCCCTCCCTGGCGCGCGGAGCGCGCCAGGTGCGGCGCCGGAGGCGCCGCCAGGAGGGGCCCCGCGCGGATCCAAGAAAGCTGTGCGGAGCGCCACAGGTTTATGCTTAGGTCGGGCCTGACCCCCTCCAGGCTGATTTTGGACGAATGATAGAAAACAAAAACTCAAACATACGCGAAACTTATCAGAAATGCGTCCCCAGACTGTTTTCTGGCTATTGTTGAAGCTTCCTCCTGCAGAGGGACGTGCACGACTTGTAGAGGGACGTGCACGACTATTTTTGACGTTTCCTCCTGTAGGACGTTCACGACTTGAATTCCTGCTCATGGCGTTTTTTTGGGCTTCTTCGGCCGGAGGGGCGAAGGGGCAAGGGTGCAAGGGCACCCTTGGGAAGGCTGCTCGCCCTTACTGCGAGGTCGGGCGGGTCCTCCTGCTGGTGGAGTTTGGACAACAAATTATCAAGCAAGATTCAAGCACAAATCAACACTTGTCAAAACAACGCGTCCCCATATCTTTTGGGCACTATTTTTTCAGATTCCTCCTGTAGAGGGACATGCCCGACCTAAGGCAAGGATGCAAGGGCACCGTTGGGAAGGTTGCTCACCCATACGATGCGTGTTGCCTGTACCCAGGAGAGCCCAGAATCGAATCGATAAGTCGGATCGGCGATCGACATGAATCAGATCGGCGGAAATCGGCAGCCGAGTCGGGAAAAGTCGAATCGGCAGAAATCGGCAGGCTAGTATGCCTTTGATAAGAAATCGGAACCCAGATCGGAATCTGTAGTCGAATCGAATCGGAATCGGAAGCAATCGAAATCGAATCGAATCGAATCGGAGAAATCGAAACATGCCCTGCCTTTACCCCCCTCTGCGCGTGGCCGACGCTTTGCGCCCCAGCGAGGAGAAGGAGGGGGAGGAGGAGGAGGAGGAGGAGGAGGAGGAGGAGGAGGAGGAGGAGGAGGAGGAGGAGGAGGAGGAGGAGGAGGAGGAGGAGGAGGAGGAGGAGGAGGAGGGGGAGGAGAGGAGGAGGGGGAGGAGGAGGAGGAGGAGGAGGAGGAGGAGGAAGAGGAGGAGGAGGAGGAGGAGGAGGAGGAGGAGGAGGGGAGGAGGAGGAGGGGGAGGAGGGGGAGGAGGAGGGGGAGGAGGAGGAGGAGGAGGAGGAGGAGGAGGAGGAGGAGGAGGAGGAGGAGGAGGAGGGGGAGAGGAGGAGGAGGAGGAGGAGGAGGAGGAGGAGGAGGAGGAGGAGGAGGAGGAGGAGGAGGAGGAGGAGGAGGAGGAGGAGGAGGAGGAGGAGGAGGAGGGGGAGGAGGGGGAGGAGGAGGCCCCCCGAGAGGGGGGCCGCGCTCCGCCCAGCTCGCGGCCCAGGCCGCGACGACGCGCCGGGTGCGCGCTTTGCCGCCTGCGCGCCCCCCCGCGGCCGACATGGGCAGCGCTCGCGCGCGGCAGACATCGCCGGGCGGGGCCAGAACGACGACAGCGACGACGACAACGACGACGACGACGACGATGACGACGACGACGACGACGATCGGACGGGGTTAGGACGAGGGTGCCTCTGTTCCAGAGCGTTCTGGAACCCTTTCTGAGCGTTGGGGGACGCTGAGGAGGCCGCGGCGCCCGAGACGTCCTCCAGAGCCGCCGGCTCTCAGAGATTCCCGATGGATCCTCGCCAAATGTTACTCTCGCCCTGGTTTCACCTTGGGTGTCCCTACAATAGGGGCCCTAAGAAACCCATGGCACCCTGGAGGCGACCAGGGTGCTTTTTGGCATGGGATACCACTGCATCCGCGCCCGACGTGGTCTGGATTCCGGGGCGCGATCCAGTGGCTGCGCGATCGCACGGCTGCGTGCCGCGCGGGCCATCCGCGAGAAAGCGCTCCGCGTCCGCGGGTGTGCGCGGCCGGGCGGCCCGCGAGGCCGCGGACTCGGCGATACGTCTTTTCCGCTCGCGAAGGGCACCTCGGGTGGAGGAGGAGGAGGAGGAGGAGGAGGAGGAGGAGGAGGAGGAGGAGGAGGAGGAGGCCCTCCTCACATGGGGAAAGTCGGGCCTCTCGAACGGGGGGGGAATAGCCAAGGGGCGGACGCAAGGGGGGAACGCGGATCCGAAAGTGCATGTGGAGCCGACGAGGAAGGGTGGAGCGCAGAAGTCCTGGAGCAGGGAGCTGGCGGGCCTCCGCCACTCCTCAAGAGGCCCGAGTGCAGCCAGCCCGCATAGGTAGGACGCGCGATGAGGATGCAGGGGCCTTGGAAGGCCATGCCGACACTTCGCGGGCGTGGCGCGGCCAGCGAAAGCGGCCAAGAATGGGCCGAAGGGGAAGGATGCAAGAATAACCTTGGAAAGTGGCTCATCCTTACTGTGCGTGTTGACTGCAAGCGCTCGGAGGCCTACGAGAAGCCCCCAAGGGAGGGTCCAAGTGGCGCCCGCAGCCATCTCGGATCAGGGATCGCCTTCGGGGAACCCGCGCGGAACTCCGACAATTCAGGAAACAAACCCATTACACCGACGTTTATTCCGGCCGTGCACTGGAACTTGCACAAGACAACGGATCTTGGTGCATTCGGGCTCCTGGTGTATGTATTTCCCTTAGTCCCCCAGGGAAACGGAAAAAGTATACACCACACCACCCCGACGTCGCCCCCGTCCCTCAAACTGTCCTGGGATTGCAACAACAACCCGCCACTAGCAATGTATGTATGCACGTATATACACATATATATATATATGTATGTATATGCTCCGATTTCCGATTGTGGCTCCTTCCGCGAGGAGCTCCGAAAGTTTACAGTGGAGGCCAGTCCACTACAAACCTTTGACAAGAAAACCAACCCTGAGACCCCAGGACGTCCACTGTTTTTCAGTGTGGGAAGAGCGTCATGCTTCCCATCGCAAAGCCATCGAAATCCAAGAAACCCATGGCACCCTGGAGGCGAGCAGGGTGTTTCTTGGCATGGGTCTTCATTGTATAGTTTTAGGTCGGGCGTGTCCCCTTACAGGTGGATCTTGGGCGCAACAAAAATAATCAAAACATTCTCCACACATATTCGAAAATAGTGGAAACATCGTCCCCAAACTATTTTCTAACTATTTCTGAATATTCCTCCTGTTTGAGCAGGGACCGACCGTCCCGGCATTCCTATAGTCCTACCACGAAATGTTCTTTGAACCCCAAACTGTTCGAATATCAAGAACAATGTTCTTAGAACATAAACCCGATGCGATAAAACAAGACAGTCGCCGCCAGAAATGCTCTAAGAACAGTTCGTGGAAACCACACAAGGTTCTCAGAACATTGTTTGGTAGGGCTGCAGGCGAGCCAGGACGCTTCGCCACTGCTTGACCTGTAGAGGGACAAGCCCGACTTGAGTATAGCTGACTCCTTGAAGACCGCGCTTTTTTGGACGCCTGGAATGGGTACGAAAAGAATGGGTACAATACCCAACAGCAAATATCGTCCCAAACCAACAGCGGCCGCTGTTGGGCAGGCGGCCTTCTGCCTCGATTGACAAAGGCCGCGGCGGCGCGGACAGCGAGCCCTGTCCAAAATGAACAGGAACTGCCGTTGAGCACTGCACCCACTCTTTCCGTACCCGTGTCGGCCGTCCCGAGCCAGGACGCCTCGCCACTGCCTGACCTGTGGAGGGACAAGCCCGACTTGAGTATAGCTGACTCCTTGAGGACCGCGCTTTGTCTCGGCGGTGGGTCTGCCCGCCAGGCCGCCGCTGCGCGGCGCCGCCCCGGCGGCGCCGGCGCCCCCGCGGGCGCCCGCGAGCCCGGCGCCGCTCCCGCGGCGCAGGAGCACCCCCGCGGCGTGCGCGCTGCCAGACGTGTGGCCCAGCAGGTGCGCCTGCGCCAGAGGGCGAGGGAGGAGGAGGGGGGGGGAGGAGGGAGGGAGGAGGAGGGAGGATGAGGGAGGAGGAGGAGGAGGAGGAGGAGGAGGAGGAGGAGGAGGAGGAGGAGGAGGAAGAGGCGGAGGAGGAGGAGGAGGGAGGAGGAGGAGGGGGGAGGAGGAGGAGGAGGAGGGAGGAGGAGGAGGAGGAGGAGGAGGAGGAGGAGGAGGAGCGGAGCGGAGCGGGCTGCGCACGGGCTTCGATGAGGTCTCGGGAGAGGCTGTGGGTAAGGCATCGGGCAAAGCTTCTGGGAAGGCTTCGCCGGAGGGTGAGGCTTCGGTAAGGCTTCGGGTAGAGCTTCGCCAGATGGTAAGGCTTCGGTAAGGCTTGGGGTTGCGCACAGACGGCCCCGCCCAAAGCAGTCCCCGCTGTCCTCAGCAGGCCCCCGAGCAGTCCCAGCTGGCCTTAACAAGCCCACCGAATAGTCGGGAGACTCTTCATGGGGGGGGATCCCATGGGGGGATAGGATCCCAGGGGGGGGGATCTGGAGAGTCTCCCGAAATAGTTCGGGACGGTCTCAACACTCTGGCGCTGGCGCCGCCGGACTACTCGGGGGGCCTGTTGAAGCCCGCTGGGACTACCTGAGGGGGGGCTGTCTGCGCGCAACGCGAAGCCTCACCAACGCCAAAGTACGATGAGACCGATGTCATGACGATTGGCTTTCGGTCGGGCATGTCCTGCTACAGGCGGATTTTGGACGAAAAAAATAAACCAGTTTTAATACATATCGTCCCCAAACAATTTATTGACTTTTCCTCCTGTAGAGGGACGTGCCCGACTTAAGGATTGGCTCAGGATGCGCTCAATGGCTTCTGGAGAATCTGGCGGCCGTTCTGGATCCCACGCCGTCGGGAGCTGCTACAAGTGCCCCTGGTCCAAGGTGGCCCCCGCTTTTCGCTCCATCTGGCGGTGGACTAAACTCCCTTTAGCAAACCACCCTTTCGTGAAAGCGGCCTAGGGCTCAAACCGACGGACCTGGACCCGCAAACATGACGGCCGCGACGCCCTCTCGCGAAACCGAAAACGGCCAATTCGCGAATCGACGGGTCAGGGTGTAGGAGGTCTATCGACCTCCGATCCCTTTTGGAGCTCCATGGGGCCTCCTGGGCCTCGTGGGAAGGGTGCCCCGGAGAGGCCGTCTGGCCCCCCCCGAGCCCACCGAATAGTCGGGAGACTCTTCATGGGGGGGGATCCCATGGGGGGATAGGATCCCAGGGGGGGGGATCTGGAGAGTCTCCCGAAATAGTTCGGGACGGTCTCAACACTCTGGCGCTGGCGCCGCCGGACTACTCGGGGGGCCTGTTGAAGCCCGCTGGGACTACCTGAGGGGGGGCTGTCTGCGCGCAACGCGAAGCCTCACCAACGCCAAAGTACGATGAGACCGATGTCATGACGATTGGCTTTCGGTCGGGCATGTCCTGCTACAGGCGGATTTTGGACGAAAAAAATAAACCAGTTTTAATACATATCGTCCCCAAACAATTTATTGACTTTTCCTCCTGTAGAGGGACGTGCCCGACTTAAGGATTGGCTCAGGATGCGCTCAATGGCTTCTGGAGAATCTGGCGGCCGTTCTGGATCCCACGCCGTCGGGAGCTGCTACAAGTGCCCCTGGTCCAAGGTGGCCCCCGCTTTTCGCTCCATCTGGCGGTGGACTAAACTCCCTTTAGCAAACCACCCTTTCGTGAAAGCGGCCTAGGGCTCAAACCGACGGACCTGGACCCGCAAACATGACGGCCGCGACGCCCTCTCGCGAACCGAAAACGGCCAATTCGCGAATCGACGGGTCAGGGTGTAGGAGGTCTATCGACCTCCGATCCCTTTTGGAGCTCCATGGGGCCTCCTGGGCCTCGTGGGAAGGGTGCCCCGGAGAGGCCGTCTGGCCCCCCCCGAGCCCACCGAATAGTCGGGAGACTCTTCATGGGGGGGGATCCCATGGGGGGATAGGATCCCAGGGGGGGGGATCTGGAGAGTCTCCCGAAATAGTTCGGGACGGTCTCAACACTCTGGCGCTGGCGCCGCCGGACTACTCGGGGGGCCTGTTGAAGCCCGCTGGGACTACCTGAGGGGGGGCTGTCTGCGCGCAACGCGAAGCCTCACCAACGCCAAAGTACGATGAGACCGATGTCATGACGATTGGCTTTCGGTCGGGCATGTCCTGCTACAGGCGGATTTTGGACGAAAAAAATAAACCAGTTTTAATACATATCGTCCCCAAACAATTTATTGACTTTTCCTCCTGTAGAGGGACGTGCCCGACTTAAGGATTGGCTCAGGATGCGCTCAATGGCTTCTGGAGAATCTGGCGGCCGTTCTGGATCCCACGCCGTCGGGAGCTGCTACAAGTGCCCCTGGTCCAAGGTGGCCCCCGCTTTTCGCTCCATCTGGCGGTGGACTAAACTCCCTTTAGCAAACCACCCTTTCGTGAAAGCGGCCTAGGGCTCAAACCGACGGACCTGGACCCGCAAACATGACGGCCGCGACGCCCTCTCGCGAACCGAAAACGGCCAATTCGCGAATCGACGGGTCAGGGTGTAGGAGGTCTATCGACCTCCGATCCCTTTTGGAGCTCCATGGGGCCTCCTGGGCCTCGTGGGAAGGGTGCCCCGGAGAGGCCGTCTGGCCCCCCCCGAGCCCACCGAATAGTCGGGAGACTCTTCATGGGGGGGGATCCCATGGGGGGATAGGATCCCAGGGGGGGGGATCTGGAGAGTCTCCCGAAATAGTTCGGGACGGTCTCAACACTCTGGCGCTGGCGCCGCCGGACTACTCGGGGGGCCTGTTGAAGCCCGCTGGGACTACCTGAGGGGGGGCTGTCTGCGCGCAACGCGAAGCCTCACCAACGCCAAAGTACGATGAGACCGATGTCATGACGATTGGCTTTCGGTCGGGCATGTCCTGCTACAGGCGGATTTTGGACGAAAAAAATAAACCAGTTTTAATACATATCGTCCCCAAACAATTTATTGACTTTTCCTCCTGTAGAGGGACGTGCCCGACTTAAGGATTGGCTCAGGATGCGCTCAATGGCTTCTGGAGAATCTGGCGGCCGTTCTGGATCCCACGCCGTCGGGAGCTGCTACAAGTGCCCCTGGTCCAAGGTGGCCCCCGCTTTTCGCTCCATCTGGCGGTGGACTAAACTCCCTTTAGCAAACCACCCTTTCGTGAAAGCGGCCTAGGGCTCAAACCGACGGACCTGGACCCGCAAACATGACGGCCGCGACGCCCTCTCGCGAACCGAAAACGGCCAATTCGCGAATCGACGGGTCAGGGTGTAGGAGGTCTATCGACCTCCGATCCCTTTTGGAGCTCCATGGGGCCTCCTGGGCCTCGTGGGAAGGGTGCCCCGGAGAGGCCGTCTGGCCCCCCCCGAGCCCACCGAATAGTCGGGAGACTCTTCATGGGGGGGGATCCCATGGGGGGATAGGATCCCAGGGGGGGGGATCTGGAGAGTCTCCCGAAATAGTTCGGGACGGTCTCAACACTCTGGCGCTGGCGCCGCCGGACTACTCGGGGGGCCTGTTGAAGCCCGCTGGGACTACCTGAGGGGGGGCTGTCTGCGCGCAACGCGAAGCCTCACCAACGCCAAAGTACGATGAGACCGATGTCATGACGATTGGCTTTCGGTCGGGCATGTCCTGCTACAGGCGGATTTTGGACGAAAAAATAAACCAGTTTTAATACATATCGTCCCCAAACAATTTATTGACTTTTCCTCCTGTAGAGGGACGTGCCCGACTTAAGGATTGGCTCAGGATGCGCTCAATGGCTTCTGGAGAATCTGGCGGCCGTTCTGGATCCCACGCCGTCGGGAGCTGCTACAAGTGCCCCTGGTCCAAGGTGGCCCCCGCTTTTCGCTCCATCTGGCGGTGGACTAAACTCCCTTTAGCAAACCACCCTTTCGTGAAAGCGGCCTAGGGCTCAAACCGACGGACCTGGACCCGCAAACATGACGGCCGCGACGCCCTCTCGCGAACCGAAAACGGCCAATTCGCGAATCGACGGGTCAGGGTGTAGGAGGTCTATCGACCTCCGATCCCTTTTGGAGCTCCATGGGGCCTCCTGGGCCTCGTGGGAAGGGTGCCCCGGAGAGGCCGTCTGGCCCCCCCCGAGCCCACCGAATAGTCGGGAGACTCTTCATGGGGGGGGATCCCATGGGGGGATAGGATCCCAGGGGGGGGGATCTGGAGAGTCTCCCGAAATAGTTCGGGACGGTCTCAACACTCTGGCGCTGGCGCCGCCGGACTACTCGGGGGGCCTGTTGAAGCCCGCTGGGACTACCTGAGGGGGGGCTGTCTGCGCGCAACGCGAAGCCTCACCAACGCCAAAGTACGATGAGACCGATGTCATGACGATTGGCTTTCGGTCGGGCATGTCCTGCTACAGGCGGATTTTGGACGAAAAAAATAAACCAGTTTTAATACATATCGTCCCCAAACAATTTATTGACTTTTCCTCCTGTAGAGGGACGTGCCCGACTTAAGGATTGGCTCAGGATGCGCTCAATGGCTTCTGGAGAATCTGGCGGCCGTTCTGGATCCCACGCCGTCGGGAGCTGCTACAAGTGCCCCTGGTCCAAGGTGGCCCCCGCTTTTCGCTCCATCTGGCGGTGGACTAAACTCCCTTTAGCAAACCACCCTTTCGTGAAAGCGGCCTAGGGCTCAAACCGACGGACCTGGACCCGCAAACATGACGGCCGCGACGCCCTCTCGCGAACCGAAAACGGCCAATTCGCGAATCGACGGGTCAGGGTGTAGGAGGTCTATCGACCTCCGATCCCTTTTGGAGCTCCATGGGGCCTCCTGGGCCTCGTGGGAAGGGTGCCCCGGAGAGGCCGTCTGGCCCCCCCCGAGAACCCATGGGGGCACCCGGGGGCCAGGGACATACTTCTAGCGGCGCGCGATGCAGGCCTACGGTTGCGTCGGGCGTGTCCCTCTACAAGTGGACTTTTGGACGA